TAGCTCCTGCTGGGTAGCCTCAGGCAGAGGCTAAATTAGCACCTCCTTAGAGATCCAAGAGCCAGTGTACCCAGTGGTCAGAGTGGGACCATCCAGATTACAACTCCTCAGATCCATAAAGGGACACATTCAGGAGGCAGACACAGTGAGCACCAAAGCCCCACTGAAGCAAGTCTTGCCCCAAAAGGGTGTCTCCAGCACAGAAGTTCTCCCACCGTAGACACAGCTGATTCTCACAGCCAATTGGCCTGGAGGTCAATTCCTCCCAGTGTTACCTACAACAATCAAGGCTTAACTACAACAAGACTGTGCACAAAGCCCACAAAGGGGTGCACCAAGAGTGTCCACCTCAGGTAATTGGGGAGGCTGAGCCACTGGGCCCTATAGGACCCCTGGCACACAAAGCCACTCTATCAACACAGGGAAGTAGCCAAAATGTGGAGACAAAGAAACAGATCACAAATGACAGAAATGGAGGAAAGCAAACTACTGGATATAGAGTTCAAAACCATGCTTATAAGGTTTTTCAAGAATTTTCTAGAAACTGCCAATAAATTTAGTGAGACCCTTGAGGATATGAAAAAGGACCAACTAGAAATTAAGCATACACGGACTGAAATAAAGAATAATATACAGAGATCCAACAGCAGACAAGAGGATCCCAAGAATCAAGTCAAAGATTTGAAATACGAAGAAGCAAAAAATACCCAACCAGAAAAGCAAAAAGTAAAAAGAATCCAAAAATATGAAGATAGTGTAAGGAGCCTCTGGGACAACTTCAAGCGTACCAACATCCAAATTATAGGGGTGCCAGAAGAAGAGAGAGAGCAAGATACTGAAAACCTATTTGAAGAAATAATGACAGAAAACTTCCCCTACCTGGTGAAAGAAATAGACTTACAAGTCCAGGAAGCGCAGAGAACCCCAAACAAAAGGAATCCAAAGAGGACCACACCAAGACACATCAGAATTAAAATGCCAAGAGCAAAAGACAAAGAGAGAATCCTAAAAGCAGCAAGAGAAAGACAGTCAGTTACCTACAAGGGAGTACCCATACGACTGTCAGCTGATTTCTCAACAGAAACTATGCAGGCCAGAAGGGAGTGGCAAGTAATATTCAAAGTGATGAATAGCAAGAACCTACAACCAAGATTACTTTACCCAGCAAAGCTATCATTCAGAATTGAAGGTCAGATAAAGAGCTTCACAGATAAGGAAAAGCTAAAGGAGCTCATCACCACCAAACCAGTATTATATGAAATGCTGAAAGGGTATCCTTTAAGAAGAGGAGGAAGAAGAAAATGGTAAAGATACAAATTATGAACAACAAATACACATCTATCAACAAGTGAATCTAAAAATCAAGTGAATAAATAATCTGATGAACAGAATAAACTGGTGAATATAATAGAATCAGGGGCATAGAAAGGGAGTGGACTGACTTCTGGGGGGGGGAAAGGAATGTG